ATTCCTAAGGATCTTTGCGGGGTCTTCAAATATTGACCAGGCTTCCTGAGGGACTCCTTGGCGATTCATGACGGAATCCTTTCGGATAACTCTGGGTGTCGTACGGATTCTCATGGAATTTTGAAAAGCCATGAGGGATTCCTGTGGATTTCTCAAGGATTGCGCAACACCCCTTTCATTCTCGATGTTGCCGGACGGTACTTGCAGGATACGTGAGTGACCCTAGAGGGTTTTTTTGGCGGATTCCAAACGGAATCCATAAAGATTCGCGAAGTTCCCGGAGGATTCTCCAAAAACTATTGGTTGCTTTCTGAAGGTTTCCTGGAGGATTCCTGCAGAATTCCCAGAAGGATTCTTAGGTGACTCTTGCGGACGCCGAAAGCTTCGTCTGGAGTCCTCCGGATTCGTGAGGATTCATCAAATTCCCCTTTGGATTCCCGGGGGATTCAAAAGAACTCCAATCTGATTCCTGCAGGATTCCTGTTCTGGGATGCTGGGGGTTTCCAAAACCATTCCCGGGGGGTCCTGATGGATACCCGTAGGATTTTTGGAAGATGCCTGAAGCATTTTTGTGGGGTTCCTGGCGACGGTTTATTATTATCAGGATTCCTGGATACAAATGTCACCCCAAGGGTTTCTCAGACAGGAATCCTCTGTGAAGAGTCCGTGTTAGGAATCCCACAGTGCATAATCTTTATACAAGGAAATCCTTGGTCAGGCGGTCAGGCGTCCTTGACAGAGAATCCGTAGTAGGGGTTCCTTCGTCGGGATCACTACGGAACCATCCGGAAAGAATCCGGAGCGAAAAATGATTTCAAGGATTTTTCGGTAAGTTTAGGTATTGGGAACCAATATTTGTGAAGGATTCTTTAGTATGGAATCTTCGGGAAGGCGCTGTTTGCAACAATCGTAATACTTATTTTTTAAGAGCGAGTCGTATGTAAGGAGCCTCTCTTGAAAGGAAAAGAAGGAGGAGGAGTTCTTCGTATGGAAACATTATTACGGAATCCACAGCTGCGGATTCTGAACATGATGTTCTACGATAAGGGTCCTCTGTATGAAACCCCATAGCAATGAATCCTTGCTGGGGATTTTTTTTGCGAGGAGTACTCGGTCGGGATTCGTTGTTGATAAAGAACGCATCGTACGGAATCCTTACAACATCTTTTTGGTAAGGAGGCTGCAGCAGGGAACCCTTATCATGGAACCCTTGGTGGAGAGTCCCGAAGAAGGAATTCTTAAGAGGGATAACGTTTTAAGCATTCCGCATAAAGAAGCCGTAATCGGGAATCATTACGCAGGAACGATTATCCGGGGGACCGGAATGAACCGTCTTTCGCAAGGAATGGATTCGAATGGTTCCCAACCATCCTGTGGTGCCGGGTCCTCGTTTTGAATAGACAGCGCCCCGCGTCTCCTCCTTCCTTCCTTCCTTCCTCCTCCTCCCCCACCCCCCTCCTCCCCACCCCCCCTCCTTCTTCCTCCCCATCCTTGCTTTGTGTCGTAGCCCCATAGGGAGCTCCACCGAAGGCCCCAGTGAGGGTGCCCGCATGCGGTTCCTCCACCCAGGGCGCGTTCCGTGGCCCCATAGGGAGCTCCACCGAAGGCCCCAGGGGGGGGGGCCGCATGCGGTTCCTCCACCCAGGGCAACGCTTCGTGGCCCCACAGGGAGCTCCACCGCAGGCCCCAATGGGGGTGCCCGCATGCGGTTCCCCCACCCAGGGCAGCGCTTCTTGGCCCCATAGGGAGCTCCACCGTAGACCCCAGTGGGGGTGCCCGCATGCGGTTCCCCCACCCAGCGCAGCGCTTCGTGGCCCCATACGGAGCTCCACCGAAGGCCCCAGTGGGGGTGCCCGCATGCGGTTCCCCCGCCCAGGGCAGCGTTTCGTGGCGCCACAGGGAGCTCCACTGCAGGCCCCAGTCGCATGCGGTTCCCCCACCCAGGGCAGCGCTATTCGTGGCCCCATAGGGAGCTCCACCGAAGGCCCCAGTGAGGGTGCCCGCATGTGGTTCCTCCACCCAGGGCAACGTTTCGTGGCCCCACAGGGAGCTCCACCGCAGGCCCCAATGGGGGTGCCCGCATGCGGTTCCCCCACCCAGGGCAGCGCTTCTTGGCCCCATAGGGAGCTCCACCGTAGGCCCCAGTGGGGGTGCCCGCATGCGGTTCCCCCACCCAGCGCAGCGCTTCGTAGCCCCATGTGAGCTCCACCGAAGGCCCCACTGGGGGTGCCCGCATGCGGTTCCCCCACCCAGGACAGCGCTTCAAGGCCCCAGTGGGGGTGCCCGCATGCGGTTCCCCCGCCTGGGGCAGCGTTTCGTGGCCCCATAGGGAGCTCCACCGAAGGCCCCAGTGGGGTTGCCCGTTCGGGCAGCGTTTCGTGGCTCCACAGGGAGCTCCACCGAAGGCCCCAGTGGGGGTGTCCGCATGCGTTTCCCCCACCCAGGGAAACGTTTCGTGGCCCCATAGGGAGCTCCACCGAAGGCCCCAGTGGGGGTGCCCGCATGCGGTTCCCCACCACCACCACTGTGGCAGGCCCCTCACACAGTTCGTGGCCCCATGAGGAGCTCCACCGAGGACTAGTTTCACAACTGCGGTACTCACAGCTGTATATGGTTGGGTCCTTCGCCAGGCTATCTTTTTAATCGACTTTATTGGTGAACGTGTCGACTCTTGTGCGGGAGCTTTCCTAGGGATCGTTGGTACATAATTTTCGGTGCGGTTGCCTCATGGATCTTCAGTAAAGGATTCACATACAGGAGTTCTTAGCAAGGGGCCGTCAGTAAAGAGTCCTTTGGTACGAGTGTAAACAGGAGCCCTCAGTAAAAACATTGATATTGGACTATGAATTAAGGAATCCTCCGCAAAGGGTGTCCTTAGCAGAAAACCCATACTAGCAAGTCCTCGGTAAGGGGTCCTTGCCAAATAATCGTTCATCGTGGGATTCGGGTCCCGATTACTTGGTACGGGGGCGTGCGCAAAGGATTCTTCTTCAGGAGTCTTTACTCGGGAAGATTTGGCAAGGAATTGTTAGTCAGGAGTCCAGGGTCATTCATGATTCGCAACGATTCTTTCGTAGGAAGCCCGTAGTGATAAAACCGTAGTCGATCACCCCGGTTGAAATATTCTTCCATCGGGAACCTTTAGAAAGGAACCCTTGGGAAACAAATCTTCGGAAGGAATCGTTTGTAACGAACTACGATGCAGGAGTCCAGTGTAGGGACTTTCTAGTAGGGTGTCCTTACTTAGTGGGGAGTTGTCCGTATGGAACCTTTTATTAAGGAAGCAGTTTGAATAGTTCGCCAGTTATCCTTCGTAGGGAGTCCTCGTTTCCAAAGTACCATTAGAAGACAACGCTTCGCTAAGGAGTCTTGAAAAAAAGAGCCCTTGGCAAGGAATCCTTAGTAAGGAATAATTCATGAGGAAGGCTTCGTGGGGAATTCTTATTAAGTAATCCTCTTGTAGGACTCCTGTTTGTAAGGTATCCTTAGTAGACACTATTTCCTGAGTGCCCTTAAAAAAGAATCTTCGTTGGGGAATCCTGAGAGGGGAGCGCTTGGTACGGAATCCTTATGATGGAACCCTTAAACATATTTCCGCCGTGAGAATACTTAGTCGAAATCCTTGTCAAGGATCTCGTAGTAGGAATCTGGAGCAATACATCCTCACTAAAGAAGCCCTGATAAGGAACTCTCAGTCAGGAATCCTCAACGTGGAATCCGTAGTACGGAACCCTCAGCAAGGAATCCTTAGTAGGACCCTTCGGTGAGAAATCCTTCGTAAGGAGTCCTCATTAAGGAGTCCTTGGCAAGGAATCATTCAAAGGAGCCCCGAGTAAGGATCCACCTAACACTCCGAGGCACAGATTTGCATAACTCCCACACCCTGGCCTACCACAGGGAGGTTGGGAGCACTGCCTGTCTTAATTGTGGTTGTGTGGCCCAGGCCGTGAGGAATTTGGCTGCTGTGCGCAATCAGCGTCTTAATCTCTATGGCAAGAGGCAGCTGTCCAAGCTGCAGAAATGACCGCAACCAGGTTCGTCCAAGCTTGCTAAAGATCAGACGGCCCAAAAGAAGGTCCTCAAGGAAACACTTCATCTCTGCCATTGGCCGGAATGAACAAGACATGAGGACCCATGCGCAGGCTCCGCAGTAGGGCTTGAATCTGCTTTACAGATTTCGCGGAAGAATCTCGTCAGGTCCCGCAGCAAGGGTACGATTTCTAATTTTTGTTGGTTGATTTGAGTGTGGCCTTGCGTTGCGTTTCTTGGGGGCGGAGGAGGGGGGCGCTCGGGGCGCCATTCTGAACGCGTGGCTTGGAGCCCACAGCACCGGAGGACGGTAGTGCCAGTCCGGGTGTCGTCCTGGTCATTGTCGCCGTCCCCCCTTCGCAATCCACCCGCGACCCAACCCGCGACCCACCCTTGACCCACTCGCGACCCACCCGTGGTCCACCCGCGACTCACCCCGCGCCCGCCCCCTCACTCTTCTCCGCAATGGTGGGGTGCCACGTGTTTCTTGTCGCCGGTGCCTACTGGCCAATTTCCCATCCTTCTCCAGACGCTTCAGCGTTTTGGAGGCGGCCAGGGTGTCCGAGCTGGTTGGCCCCCAGAGGAAAGGTCAAGACGTGTTGGGTGAAGGCAAATCGGTTCAAAATTGACTCTGGATCCCTACCGGGGTCCATGTAGAACAGTTTATCTCTCCGTATCCATTTCTGACGGTCCCGGGGCCGGAGAACGGCTTTTGGGAGCCGAAAGAGGCCAACACCTTTTCTCGAGCCCAGAACTTCGAACCTCGCCTCACCTCATGCTGGTCGGAACCAGGGCTGGGCCCGGCTTTCTCGGACCCCCAGCCAGGTCGCGCGGTGCAGTTCATTTTCGGCCCCAGGGCGGGGAGGGAGGAGGACGAATGCAGGGAAAGCGGGAGGCGCGAAACGCGTGGGAGGGGGGCAGCGGGAGCCGCAGCACAGCGTGACTGCGCTTCCCCACGCGCCCGTGGCCAGGACTTCGACTTCCCGGGCTCGGGCCGCCCGCACTCGGCGGGCTCCGGCCGCGCACACTTGGGCGGCGCGTGGATGCAGCACCCCACGACCGGCGCGGGGCCTGGCCGGCCCGGAGTGGGGTCGTCGCAGGGAGGGGCTCATGACAGAACCTGGGCGTGCTCGCGTGGTGAAAAAATCACGACGTGGGGATGCATCGAGAATAGCAGGACCCCTAACCCTATGATGATACAGAGAAGACGCGGCCTCACTGAGGTCCCCGTCTTTCGCTGATGGATACAAGTTCTGGACGGTTTGGTTCGATACGTCTGCTGGAAAGGTGCCATGTTCCTAATGTGTTTTGCCCTCCTAACTCAGGTCCCCTCCCAAAGGGGAAGGGGTCTTTTTTGGGGGTGGGGCTGTTTTTGGCCCCTGGGGGCCCTCGCCGGGCCACAGCACCGTCGACAGGCGACTCGGGATGAGAAGCTAGCTCCGTGGAAGGGGTCGGCGGGGACCGCGTACTGACCAGATCAAGGCATCGCATGTCTGGGGAGGAGGCGGTCGTCGCAAGGAAGGGCCAATGAAACGGCGGCTAGCCCAGGGGGGAGTGCAGAGGGGTGGGCCTTCTCAGAACGGCTCGGAAGGCCTCGGGATTTCTGATAGGCTTTCTATAAGTTTTCTCCGAAGACAGAGGCTGCTTCTCAGAGGGTCGGTTTTTCACCGTCTCCGGCCTCCCGGGGCCTCCCACGGGCCCCGGGAAGAGAACTGGTCTTGGGGGGAAGCCCCATGTCGGAAACTGGAACATATACATTACCAGTGGCGGGCGGTTTTCAATCCCAAGACCTTTTTCAGGGTCGGGGACGACGTCGGGGTGGTGTGGTGTATACTTGTTTCCCCGTTTTCCTGGGGAAACGACGAAGAATGCATACACCAGGATCCCGTATACACCAGGATCCGTTTTCCTGTGCGAGATTCAGTATGAGGCCAGACAGAGGCGTCGGTTTGTAGAGTTCGGTTCCCTACCATGTCCCGGGCTCAGGACCCGCGGCCCTCAGGACAAGCAGGCCAAGGGCCAAAAGGGTGCCGCCCCAGGGCCAGCGAGCGGGGCGCAGGCGATTGCGGACCAGGACCCTGCGCCAGCGGAGCGGGGCCCCCGTGTGGTGCGGTGGCCACACTCAGTTGAGCGGAAGATCGGGGCAAATCGGAACCAGAGGTTTTGGGAGAGTTCCCAAGAAAAATAGAACGCCGAATTGTGGAGCTCAGCGCGCGCATTCGCAGAAGTTCCCCATGGACTTTTCGAGGGCTTGTGGAGCCCAAGTAACACATGGGCGCTCGATTAAACCGTTGAAGGCGGGCAGAAAAGCTGGCGTGCACGAGCATTGGGAGCGGGTGCACGGCTTGCACGGGGGGCGCAGTAGGTTTGCGTTTCAGGGAATTGGGTGCTGGCCGATGCGTTGACGGGGGGCCCGAGAGCGCGTCGCACATATTACGCCTGTGGCGCCATGGAGGCCGCGTGCGCGGTTGCAGTGGGGCGGGCGCCCCGCCGCGCGCGCCGCGGCGACAGCTCTCTTGGGCGCCCGCCCGCCGCCGTGGACGCAGGGTGCCCAGCTAGTCTCGCGGTCGGCGCGCGGCGGGCCGGCAGCCACGACGCTGGCGGCCTGAAAATGCTTCGAAAGTGTTTCTCCCGGAGCCCGGGGCTATTGTACGTTTTCGGTGGCACGCGCAGCTCGGAGAAGAATCGCCTTGTCCGTCGGCGGCCAGTTGGCTGTCGTCGCGCAGAAGTACCGGCAGATGGCGCGGTCCACGCTCAGCGCAGAGAGCGTGTCCATGAGCGTGGACTCGTCGAGGGGCAGGAGGGAGGACCTCGCGGTCGGGACCATCGCGGCCCGCGATGTCCACGGCCCCCACCCTGGGCGCGTGAGGACCTGCTGGGCGCCGCCGCAGGCCGATTTCAGAGAATCTCGGAACCAGAAATCCGGGCGCGCTAAATTTCGCGGGCCGAGAAACTCTCAGAGAGTTTCGGCCAGCTCCGAGGTTTTGGGTTTGTGGGAATGTTTCGCGCGGGGTGGTTAGTTCAGGGATTTTCAGAGATTCTCAGAGAAGTTCGGACGCGAGGATCTGGCGCGCCCCAGTTTCTGGTTCTCTGAATCTCTGAAAAGCGGTTCCTCAGGTTTTACCGGATCTCCAGGCGCCCTACTGTCAGCCAGAGACGAGCGACTGGCTGGCGCCGCGCCCGATGCCTCTGGAGTTGCGAACTCGGTCCTCGATTCCCTGGGGCCCGTGGGCCCCTGGGCCAATCGCGAGGTTGCCGAAGCCCCCGGGCGGTCGCGCGCGATTGTCTCCGAAACTGGAGTTGGGCACCCATGGTGGACGCCGTCGCGTACGCGCTAGGTGTCCGCGAGATTATTCGGTGGCGGATACTGCGTGGCGCGGAGGCCTTCCAAAGACTTTCTGGGGTTTTCTCTACGGTTATTTCGGCGCGCTTCGGGAACCTTGGGGCGGCGCGGGGAAGTCGCCAGGCCGCGCGCGGGCCCTTTTCCCAATGCCTTCTTGGGCATTATCGCGGTGCTGCGTGGCCGAAGAGGTCACTGAGTACTGCGCTGTTTGACATTTACACGTGTTTTTCGTTGCGTTGGTTGCGTGATTGTTTTGGCGGTCCGCCTCTTTGGGGCCCCCTTGGGGCCTCAAGTTTGTTTTGTTGACGTCGGGTCTTATGGAGCAAAGGCGCTTGGCGTTGAATTCCCTCGGGCGTGCGCGTGGCCAAATACGCGCCGTGGCCTCATCCGCGCCGGGGCGCATTTCCTCCCTCGCGAAGCCGATGGTGCCCAAGGCGTGGCAGGCCCGTTCGGCGGCGCCCCCGGTGATTTGAAAAACCGAGCACGATTTTTATCCCAGTCAAACTTTGCCCCGATCCGGGCTTCATTTTACACACGTCCGGTGAGCCCCTGGTGACCCGAGGCCAGTGGACGGTCTTGAGTCGTATAGGTCGTTCGCCGCGGAGGTCTCTGGGCGCCCTGGGCCCGAGACGTCCGGAGGGAAGGGGCCCCTGTCCTCGTCCTCAGGTGTCGGGTGTCGGGGCCTTTTGGAAGCCCTCCGCGGGCCCGGGGACCGCCAAAGAACGGCCGGCTCGGGAGAGGGAGCCTTGGTCTCGGAGAAGGGCCCGAGGGCCCATGACCAGGTTCGGCCAGGACTTGTGCCGCTCATGTCGGCTCCAGGCCGGCGAGCGGGGTACAAGCGGCAGCCACTCAGGGCGGGCGTATTTTCTCGGTGCCCCGGCATGGTCCATGTCGATCCGATTCGATTTCGACCTTCTGTGCCGATGCGGCCACATGTCGATCCAAATGCTAGGCGGATTCGTCCAGTAAGACGGGCGTAGCTTACCGAGTGAGTGGAGCCCCGTGCGAGCGGAGTTCCGCACACGAGTGGAGCGCCGTGCCAATGCAGCACCGCCAGAGTTCAGCCCGTGCGAGCGAAGCTCCTCGCGAGTTCAGCTCTGTGCGAGTGGAGCTTCGTGCGAGTCAATCAGGGTCCCCCTTATGTATCTTTGTTTTTTCACGTTCCACCCCAGGTCCGATGTCGAATCGTTTGTGCCTATCTCTCCTCTAATCCTCACCCCCCCCCCTTTCCCCTCCTTTCCTCCCTCCCCCATCCTCACGCCTGCTCCTCTCGTCCCAGGCCCCCTCGCCGCGGACGCACCGAGGTACTGTGAAGACCACCTCGAACGGCGACCTGATGACGGTCTGGAAGGCGCGGTCAGACTCGGGCGCGTGGCAGAGTGCGGGAGGAGGCGCGGGGGGAGGTTGGAGCACCACGAGGTGAGGACGCAGGCCCCCCAGATACCCAGATATATAATACGTTCGGGGCCTCTTCCTGCCCCATTCCTATGCCTTGTCAATCTCTTCTCCCTGTCGCACCCCGAGGCCGGTCGAGAGGGAGGGCGGGGCGTTTCGCTTCAGATTTCACCGTGCATGGCCCTGAAATTCAGAAGCTGGGAACAGCTTCACAGATGGAGGGCGGGTGGTTTCCAAAACGAAGTGTGGCTCTTGCCCTAGCGCCGCGCACACTCCTTATCAAACCTTGCAAGGGCTTCACGGATTGAGGGCGGGTGGTTTTCAAGATGTTGTTCTCGCTGTCGCGCCGCGCACACTCATTGTAAACAATGGCAAGAATTTCAGGGATTCAGCGCGGGCCGTTTTCTAAATTTGGCTCCCGCCTCCGCGCCGCGCACATCCGTTGTAAGTGTTAGCAAGAGCTTAACGGGGTGACGCCGGCTCCTTTTTCAACGGTGGTTCTCGCCTTAACGCTGCGCGCATCCGCTTTTATAGCATTCCAAGAGCCTCACGGATCCGCATGCCTAACGTACCAGAAATTGCGTTTTGGAGCGATTCAGGGTTGCCGGGTCGCAACAATTACGTTGATTCGCAGTGTTGAAGTCTCAGGGATGGTGTTTGGGCACGATTCAGGATCGTCCAGACGCAACAGTCAGGTGGATTCGTGGCGTTGGGGTCCCGAGAATGGTGTTTTGGTACGCTTCAAGATTTTCGAACGGGTATCTCCCAACGGCGCACCTCCCTCAGTGGAAATGAATATTTGTAGGGGCCTATGAAGAGGGAGCTTGGAGGGAGGGTTTATTCCAACATCGTTGATGAGTCTTGGTTGGTTTTAGCGTGGTCCTCCTCCTCCCCACCATCATCATCCTCCTTATCCTCCTCGTGCTGCTCCTCCTGCCTTCTCGTCCCGTTCCTGCTCACCCCTGTTCCATCTCTCCCTCGAACAGTTTTTGACATACTCGTCCCGGCGACCTCTGTTGGGCCCACCTAACGGACCTGTTGGATTCTAGTTTGACTCTATTCCTAGCTCGAGCCTAGCTCGACTCTTGTTCCACTCACGTTCGATTCAAGTTCGACTCAAATCGATTGGCGTTCGACGCAGCTTCGCGCGTGAGTGGAGCGCGTGGCTCCAGGAAGCTCCCCAGAGGGAGCACCTGACGCTCCCTCCCCCTGCTCCCGCGCGTCATATCCTGCTCCCGTCCTTCTGGCCTCTGGCCTCCCTCGGGGCGCTCCTGCCCCTCCTTCCCCTCCTCCCCCTGCCCGCACTTCACGCCAGCAGCGCGAGCGGGCAATCCGGACCCTGTAACTGTCGTCGCGTATGCGCTCGTGATGCCTGAGTCAGGAGGAAGTCTCAAGCGGGAGCCTCGTCGGTGAGTGAATCGCGCGGACGTTTCAAGCGCCCCCCCCCTCATTTTAGCAATCCGCTCGGGTCATCCGAACCCTGGAGCTGTCTTCACTTCTGGGCTCCTGATGCTTGGGTCAGGAGGACGCATCGAGCGGGTGGCCTCGTGCGCGAGTGAGTCGCAAGGGTGTGTCAAGCGGAAGCCCCGTTCTCTGTAAGGTCTGCACTTCATGTTAGTAGTCCGAGCGGGTCGTCAGAATTCCGTATTAAACTGACCTTTTAGCACGTGATGCCGGAGTCAGGAGGACGTATCGTGCAGGGGCCTCGTTTGTGAGTGAACGGCGAGGATGTGTCTAGCGGAGGCCCTGTTACCCATACGGTACCTTTGGGGTCGCGAGGACATTTCGTGAGGGGCCTCGTCTTTGAGTACATCGAGAGGAAGTCACAGGCGGGAGCCCCCTCGTGACCAGGCCCGAAACTCATATTAGCAATGCGACCGGAGCATCTGAACCTTGTTGCTGTCGTCGCGTGTTGGCACGCGATGCCAGAATCAGCAGAACATCTGAATCGTGAGGATGTCTCAAGCGGGAGCCATTCCTGTCTACGGGGTTTAGCACTTCATGTGTATCCCGAGCAGATTTTCTTAATTTCATGGTTGTCGTCACTTGTGGTCTCGTGATGCCTGAATCAAGAGGACGTTTCGTGCGGGAGCCTCGTCGGTGAGCAAACCGCGAAGAGGTCTCAGGCGAGAGCCCCCTCGCTTCTGGGCCTGGGATTCATGGTAGCAATCTGTGCGGGCCATCTGGCCTATGTAGCTGTCGTCATCTTAGTCAGGAGGACGTCTCGTGCGGGGCCTCGTCTTGAGCGAATCGCGAAGAATTCGCAGGCGGGAGCCCCCTCGCTTCTGGGCCCTAAACTCATGTTAGCAATCCGAGCGGGTTCCGAATCTCGTAGTTGCCTTCATTGTTTGGTTCCTGATGCCTGAATCAAAACGAGGTCTCGAGCGGGGGCATCGTCTGTGAGTGAATCGCGAGGATGTCTCAGGCGGGAGCCCCCACGGGGCTCGGAATTCGTGCTAGTAGTCCGAGCAGGTCCTCCGAATCCCGCAGTTGACGTCAGTTTTCAAGAGGAAGCCCAGGAGCCCCCCGGAGGCCACAGGAGGCCCTGGGAGGTCCCACGAGCACCCCGGGAGGTAGGTCCAGGAGGCCCCGGGAGGCCCCACAAGGCAACAGGAGGCCTTGGGATGCCCCAGGAGGACGCATGATGATGATGAGGAGGAGGAGGAGGAGGAGGAGGAGGAGGAAGAGGAGGAGGGAGGGTGAGGAGGAGAAGGAGGGAGGAGGAGGAGAAAGGAAGAGGAAGAGGTGGCGCGATGAGGAGGAGGAGAAGGAGCAGGAGGAGGAGGAGGAGGAGGAGGGAGGAGGAGGAGGAGGAGGAGGAGGAGGAGAGGAGGAAGAGGAGGAGTAGAAGCTGGAGGAGGAGGCGGAGGGGGAGGAGGAGGAGGAGGAGGAGGAGGAGGAGGAGGAGGAGGAGGCGAGATGAGGTCGAGGGGGAGAGGGGCGGGGAGGATGAGGAGGCCGAAGAAGGAGTATTATGAGGATGCGGAGGAAGAGGACGCACGATGAGGAAGAGGAGGAGGAGAAGGAGGAGGAGGAGGCACGAGGAAGAGACGGATGCAGCATGATAGTGCGCGCGGAGGATAAGGAGGCAGGAAGAGGAGGACGAGGCAGGATGAGGAAGCAGGAGGAGAAGGAGGAGGCAGAAGGAGGTATTTAGGAGGGGTCAGGAGGATATTCCCAGGCAAGCTAAACAGATTCTCGTGCGGGGTCCGACCATCGGAGTGCTTGCTACGATGTTGCAATGTGTGTTCGTGACGTCGGAATTTTTGGGTTGGGACGAAGTGGCGCTTCTGGCCACGGCGAGCCTCTGCCACGAACGAGCTCCCCAATCCGGATCTGAGGTTCGGCCCGAAAGACGTGGCCCGTCCCGAATCCGAAGAGGTCTTCGTCTCAAGGCCGATTTGAAGTCAGATCCCAAGGTCTAAGCGGGCATGCCCTTCCGCCCTTGGCATGCGGATCAGACTGCGATTCATGATGTCAGCACGGGCGCGCCGTCCTGCGCATGCATGTCTCAAGCGTTTTGACAAGTCCGCCCGTGACGCCATGCAGGCGAAGCGCATCCTGCGCTCCTCTGGAGGCTTGCGTTGCGCTGCGCGCGCTTGCGGCGCGTATGGTCCGCGTGGCTGATCTCGGGCCCTGCGCCCCGTCAGCAAGCACCGTGCTGCTTCCCCGGGGAGAGAGCGCGCGCGTGGCCCGCCTTGGTCTTACTATTGGTAGGGAGGGAGGCCAGGGCCGGATACGGCGTCTGGCTTCCGGCGCAGGGCAACACTGAGCCTGGAAGGGCTGGGAGGCGGGGAGGAATCGGCAGATGACCAGCGTGTGAAGCCGCCGAACTATCAGCGAGGGGCAGGAAGTGTCGTGAAGGCGATGTGGTGAGCGAGGCCCGGGGCATCCCGAGAGCCCAGCACGCCACGGTGCATTCCTTCCCTGTCTAAGAAGGGAACACCGTCCCGGGACAGCTTTCGGAGGCCCGCCGCCACAGGAGGTTGGGTGCACGCAGGGAGTGCACGGAGAAAGCGCTGCACCATGAAGCGTTGGTTGCGCTCGTCGTATCTCCCACGTCTCCCAATATTGTTTCCAATGTTTCTTCTTATTCGTATTAACTTCGTTATTAGTCGTATGTATTGTTGTTCGTCTTATTCGTCTGATGTTTCTTCTCATCATGTTTCGTTTGAGTATGATGAGTATCTTCTTATTATTGCATAACTCCTAAGGTCCGCCCCCACACTCCGGGGCTCTTGGGGAAGGCAGAGGAGGGCGCGGTCTTCTATGTCGGAGGTTGGGCGTCAGCAGATGTGGGCATGCGCATGCATCAGGGGCAATGTTAGGGGCGGTAGGCCCATCGACCCCGAATCGCCCATTCACCGCCAGTAGGGGCTCAACAACTCGCCCACCCCAGGAGCGTGAGTTTTCCTCATCGTGGGCCTATCGTCGATCCATCGGCGACGCATCGCCGATTCCAGGTCGATGTTTTCCCCGCTAAACCCGTCCCTCCCTAACGTACCCTTGAGTCGGGTACGTCCCTCTAACAGGAAGAATTTTCAAAATACTCAAACAATAGTCTGGGGGCGATGTTTCTACTATGTTTGAAATTGTTGAACAGTTTGGGGATATTTGTCTCTTTCGTCCAAAATCCGCATGTAGGAGGACATGCCCGACCTGAACGTACCCCCGTAATGCAGTTGCCAATGCTTGTCAGCAGGGGGGCATTGTGTGGAAGTGGGGCTAGAGGTGACGCACGAGCTCAAGCTGCCCCTGGAGGACGTCCGCATCGCCGCCAAGACTTTCAGGGAGTTCGCCACCTTCACCGAGGGCGATAACTATGCCCCCCCTTTTCTCCTCCGCCTCCTGATTCCACTTCCGCCTTTCCCTCTTCTGGATTCCCTTCGGGGATCCCCCGTCAAACTTGGGACGATCTGGAGAAAATTAACATGGCCCATGCGCAGGGATGACTCTCACGAATCGCGAAGTGTATACAATTAGAACAACTCCTCCTGATCCCTCTTCCTCCTACTGGATCTGGCGCCCACGCGCTGGACCCACGCACCCGTAGTCCACGTTAGCGCGTGCCCGAAGAAGCTTCTGGGGGCCTTCTCCCCCGGGCCTTCTACGGTGGGGGCGTTCGTTGAGGAACGTGCCTTGGAGGCTGTAGACCCTGGGGATTCCTTATCCAGCGGGGGCGGTGGTGATATCCATGGCCGATCCACGATTGGAGTTCCACTGGCTCCCAGACCCTGGATTCCATATCAGAGGGTTCCTTGTCCTGTGCCCCCACCGTGCTGGATCTGGCGCCCACGCGCTGGACCCACGCATCCGTAGTCCACGTTAGCGCGTGACCGCAGAAGCCTCTTGGGGCCTTCTCCCCCAGACCGTCGTTACCCCTGCTGCCCCTTTACCACCAGCCCCTGGACGGCGCGAATAACTCAGAGATAAAACGGTGTTCTTGAATTGCTTGATCTTGGAGGCAATTGTCGGAACCAGGGGTTGGTTATGAAAAGACGATCCGTGATGAACAAAGCATCGCTGGATTTCCTGGGAAGTGGTCGGAACTAACCAGGATCCCGTATCGAAAACGTCAAGTCGTCGGAGGCATGGGAAGGAGCCTTTTTAGAAGCACCTGGACTTGTCGACTTCCAGATCCAGGCGACACAAAACGGATCGCGATGGTCAGTTTTGGACGGTTTCGGCATTCGGAGGCAGTCACCCTCTCTCGCGATCGTGCAACATCTTTTTAGGATGGAGCGATTTCCCATGATGAAGTTCGAGACATACATGGGCCCACGTTGCAGAAAACAGCACGGCGATGGAGTTCTGTGTTGGGCCTTTGCAAGATGCGCGCTGCCCTCTCAGAAGGCGCGCATCTCGCACCATGCCTCTACCCTCTCCCCCGTCGTTTTTGTTTGCGGTGGTGGACCCCCGGAGTTGCCGACCCCGTCCCAATTCCCCGGCTGTGTGTCGGGCCTTCGATGAGCGAGGTAATTTGGAACCCATCTCGGGTACATGCGATGGGGGGGGGGTCAATCACCCTGGTAGCGGTGCGTCAGAATAGCCTTCCGAGGGTGCATCCCCGAGTTCCTTTTCTAGCTTGGACGGGGAATCTGGCTGCGGGGAACTCGAGGAGCCCCCCGCGAGGAGACTCACAAAAGGACCCCTGAGTTCTCGACCCCTTTCCCGAGGACCGGATTCTCGTCCCGAGCGGCTTTCTAGACGGCCTTGGGGTGGGGGGCCCAGCAAGGGCCCCAGTGGCCGAAGCTTGCCAAAATGTGCCCCCCTTGTTCTTTGGACCAGACCACTCAGAGGAGGAAAAGGTACCTTCACCGCTACCCGTCCCTCTTCTTCGCGTTGTTGGGCCCCCGCAGGAGGCCCTCGTCGCCACCGCTGGAGCCGCTTCGAGATTCTGGTGAGAATGCCCCGATCGAGAGGGGATCCCCTCTCGTAAAGGGCTTAAGGGAATTCTGCTGTCCCTCGGCTCGCGCTGGAGCGGCGACGATCTCTCAAGCTCCGTTTTCGGGCGAAGCCCGAATTTGTTTCTCGCGAGGTGAACTGAACGGAACTGAACTGAACTGAACAGACTGGTCGCATCCGTTACGCAACGGTGTTATTCTCGGCCGCCAAGGGCTCAACCTATGGCGCAACCGATAGGAGACGGTGTTATTCTCGGCCGCCGAGGGCGCAACCTATGGCGCAACCGATCGGACACGGTTTGATTCTTGGCCGCCGAGGGCGTAATGTATGGCGTTGAGCCGTTCTCTTGAACCGCAAGCGGGCCAGCGAGGGCGTCGAGGACCGAGGTGCCAGGAGAAGGAGTATGAGCAGGAGGAGGAAGAGGAAAAACGAGAACGAGGTCCTAGATGAGGACGACGAGCAGGAGCTGGAGCAGGAGAAAGACAAAGAAGACGAGGAGGATGAGGAGGAGGATGAGGACGACGACGACGACGATCAGGATGGGGATGAGGATGAGGAATACGAGTCGTACGAGGACGAAGTGTGGGCATTCGAATGCGTGCGGGTCTAAGTCTACGCCCGATGTATGCTCGCCCTTTGGGCTGGCGGTGGGGCCCAAGCGGCGAGCTGTCTTGTGATCTGAGTGATTGGGATGCCCAGCTATCGATTCTGGTTCTCCCAGGCTCACGCAGATTGAGCTCGGTGCCCCTTTATTCATCCCCGAACAAGTCGACCGAAGAAGAGCTGTCAAGCCCTTGGGGCCTTCTGGGGGCCCCACCTCTCCCGCGCGACGCCCACGGAACCAGGGGCCCTCCTTCTGGCCTCGCTTTTGGACCCCCTTCGGGGATCATCCGCTGAAATTGGAGCGATACAGAGAAGATTCGCCTGGCCCCTGCGCAAGGATGATACGCACAAATCGAGAAGTGTATACGATCCTCCTGGCCTCGCGGCCTTCTGGGGCCCCCGCAGAGCCCCCCCCCCCGCGCCAGCGCTGACGCTGCGCCGCCCCCCTCCCCGGGCCCCCAACGGAGACCCGCCGGCTGTGTCCCCAAGGGTCGTCGTCGTCGTCGTCGTCGTTGTCGTCGTCGTCGTCGTCGTCGTGGTCGTGGTCGTCGTCGTCGTCGTCGTCGTCCGTCGTCGCCGTCGTCGTCGTGGTCGTCGTCGTCGTGGTCGTCGTCGTCGTCGTCGTCGTCGTCGTCGTCGTCGTCGTCAGTGTCGTCGTCGTCGTCGTCGACGTCGACGTCGGTGTCGGCGCCGCTGTCGTCGCCGTCGCCGCGCTTGTCCTTGATTTCCTGGCCGTCCTGCTGGAGGAGGAGGCCTCGGGGAAAGGTGGGCGGCGGCGACGGCAACCACGAGTCAAACGAAAAAGCGTCTTACACATGCCGACGGAGTCGACGAATTCGGACCTCAGGGGGTCTCCAGGTACCTCCAGATCCAGACCCCCATGCGTCGCGAAACAGCATGTGTGGCCAGCTTCCTTCGTACGCTTGGCGTCTGAAGGCCATTTGCGTGGCACAGGACCATGCAGAAACACTCACTGCAGATCTGGATCAACAGTACATGTCCGTATGATTTGCCTTCTGAAGCCCTAGAGATTACCAGTCCCCGAAATTGCTGTGGCGGATAAGTTTTGGCATTGGATTCACCGCCCACAGGTCAAGAAGACAATGTAGAACGACAGTGATAAATGCCAGAGATGCCGTCACGCAGGAGCGCCGTGTGCGACCTGCTCGTTGGCGTCGTCTTCGCGCGCGGGACGATTTAATTGTCCTCTCCAGTTTCACCTCAGCGGCTGAAGCGATGCTGTCGAACCGGCCCCCAGTCGGCCCCCTGGTGTCAGTCGCACCCTCCATCAGATTGCAAAGTTCAGCTGAACATCGGCCCAGGTAACGGAGATTTCCTTGGAGCTACTCCATTGAGCTCAGTCTGGATGCAATCCGTCGCCCTGAAGGAAGAGGAGCGGCGAGTGGAGCGGGCCCTGTGCCTTGGAGCGTTCTCCAGAACCAGCTCCTCCTCCTCCTCCTCCTTCTCCTCCTCCTCCTCCTTCTCCTCCTCTTCCTCCTTCTCCTCCTCCTCCTCTTTCCTCCTCCTCCTCCTCCTCCTTCTCCTCCTCGGCTTGCGGCCCCTGGATCTGCGGAGTGTTGGGACGGCGAAGAGTTGCCAGGATTCCGTTCCTCCCGGGGCCTGCTCCCATCGTGCTACGAGGGTCCCATTTAGCTCTGCGGCCACTTGCGAGCCCTACCCCTGCGGGTCCGGCCGGCGCTGGGGCATCGGACACGCCCGCTGGTGTCCGCACGGCTGCAGGCATGCTCCGAATGCGAAGCCCCGGCCAGCGTTTTCGAGATCCGACCTGCAGAGGGATGGGGTTCGCACGTGGCTGCCTAGTAGTAACCCTCCAGTGTTGCCCAACGGGCCCTAGTCGTGCACACGAAGGCCTCGCCCGGGAGCTTCCCCCTACAAGTGGCGTCGCGTCCCCTCGCCGCGAGCGGCCCACAAGGCGAGGGGAAGCTGCTGGAGGGGCAGCTGTGCAAGGAGGAGTTCGAGAAGGTGCGCTGGCGTGCGGCGCACTTTTGGTCCCGCTGGCTGCATGCATCCACGGCCGAGCATATGATTAACAAACCTCCCCCCGAGCAGCCGGCCAGCGTTTCCCTACCAATCTTCTGGCGAGCTGGCCCAGTTTCTTGAGCGCGCTCGCCCATGCGGCGTAGCTCAAAGCTGGCCCAGGTCTGCCTCAAGAAGCTTCTGGAAAGCTGGCCCAGATTCCTTCGCTCATGGTTTTTCTTGATCGTGGATTCGCCTGTAGTTGTACTTGTAGCACAGGCACTATTGCACCGTTCTCGGCGCCCCCGTACCTCGCATAAAGCCTCGCCATTACCCAAGCGGCGAAGCTAGCAGAGCAAGATGGGCACACACTAAGAGCCGAGAAGTTCATGAACGCACGCGGGTGCAGGGCGGACTTCTTCGGGAGGGCAGGCGAGTATCAATGGCAGGCTGCCGTTGGGAGCGCTTCAGCGTGTTACAGTCAAAAACCCTAATAAGGACGCGCGACTTGGGTACCCTTGCGTCCTTGCTCTTCCTTGCTCTTGCGTCCTTGAGGTTTTCGTCGTCCGCCGCCCTAAAAATCCCAACTTCGGCTTCCAAGGGTCTTGCGTCCTTACCGTGCGTCCTTATTAGGGTGTTTGACTGTACTCCTTCCGAAGACCTGGCGTATCTTCAACGACAGCACGCCGATGGGCTCCCCGCGGCGGCGAGCGATTGATGCTGCTGCTGCTCCTCCACGGGTGGTCCCTCCCTCCCTCCCTCCCTCGCTCCGCACGAAGTGCCATGAAGAACACGTGTCATGAGGGAAACGTGTGATCGGAGGTGTCCTAGAGGAGGAACAGGTACCCATACCTGTACCCTACCCTCGTTTTGCCATTCTTAGGCTTCCTGCGAGGCCCTCGTCGCCACCGCTGGATTCGCATCGAAATCCTGGTCAGAACGCGTCCCGGGAGAGGTCCGGGGAGTAGCGGTATCGGTACCTTTTGGTTTCCTCAGTGTGTGGCAGTTTTTGTGGCTCACTCGATCTCCCGGCGATCCGATGCGGCCCGATGCTTATACGTCGCTGTCGTGCATCATGGCACGGCCGAGCCGGTTCGATCTCGACCGCGTGCCGATTCGGCCCGATTCGACCGATTCTGTGTTGATTGATCATGCAATTTGGGAACTATCTTCTAGTTCTTAGGATGCAACTCTTGGGAGGTGAAGTTCAGCATCGCCGCTGAATTATCCGTTCTCGAAAACCAGCCGAATCCATCATAGTCCGAACTAGTCCTGTTTATCCCACTAAATTTCATCCTGGGCTTACTCCGGCCAGGAGTTACCTCAACCTTTCGGTCTGATTGGTAGCGCGTTGGCCAGACACTTGTTGTCACGGCTAGGCTCCCTTCCTCTCCCCAGCGGGGATGGAGGTCGCGGGCTCGCCCGCCCGCCCCCAGGGCGGACAAACATCTTGCCCCCTCTTGCCTCGATCCTCCTCGTTGTCCCATCTTCTCCTCCCTGTTCCCCTGCACCCCTGTCCTCCTCATTCTCCGTCTCTCCCCCCCACCCCCCGTCCTTCTTCCTGCCTCTTCCTCCTCCTCCTCCTCCTCCTCCTCCTCCTCCTCCTCCTCCTCCTCCTCCCACGCCCGCCTCCTCCGTGACTCCCTTGTTCTGGGCGTCTCCCAAGCCTCCTCCTCTTTCTCCCCCTCTTCCTCGAATTCTCACCCCCATCCCCAAGTCTTCCTCCTCGTCCTCCTCCTTCGTTCTCTTTTTTCTCGACAGCTCCCCGTGGTCTGACGGCCCAGACGTGCCGGTCGGGCGATCCGCGCGTTTCGCGGGAGACTTTCTTCCCTCCAAGGTATAAGGTTCTGGAGCCTGGAACTCCCGACAGGTGCATCGATGGTGGGGTGGGGGTTGAAAAATGTGGTTCTCGCCTCAGCGCTGCGCACTTTCGTCACAACGTTTCCAACAGCTGCAAGGCTGGAGGGGAGCGGTGTTCCGTGGCGCCGCGCACATTCGTGTTTAACGTTTGCATCATTACCATTAACAGCAGTAATGGAGGGCGGGCCGTTTGCAGTATGGAGCTCTCGAGTTTGCGCCGCGCTCATTCTCTCTTAAAGCTTGCAACGGCTGCAAGGATGGAAGGCGGCGGCTCCTTTCTCAGAATGGGGCTTTCGTCTAAGTGTTGCTCGAAGTTATGCTAAAACATTGCAGCAGCTACGGGGATGGAGGACGGCTCGTTTTCAACCAGGAGCTCTTCCCTCAGCGCCGCGCGCAGTTGTGTCACCAGCTTGAGGCAGCGTGAGCGAATGAACGCGTTTTTTGTTGTTGTTCTCCAGCATGGGATTCGAGTTCGAAACGCCCGAACCGAAAGGCGACAAGCCTGGAACAACGGCACTCGCTCCGCGGTCGAAGGGCGGGTCCGATGCAGAATGGGGCTCGCGCTTAGGACGCCCTCGCAGCGCACGAATCGAACCGCCACTTCCTACCAGTCACGCGCGGGGCCCCCGCCGAACTGGCAGGCCCCTGGCGTGCTTGGTCTTTCAACGGGGAGCCTCTTGTAGTGTAAAAGGACGGCTCGCTGGGCTTCGTGAGGAAAGGGGCTCGGGGCGGGAGGGTGTGCTGCGGCAGCTTTGATGCGGCTTGGGTCTATTTTGGTCCCTCCTCCTCGTCGCCCTCACCCGTGGACATCCGGCATCTGACTTTTTTTTTCTGACCGCGTGGCTGCCCAGAGGTTGGGTCCCTTCCACTGGACCGGCTTTTCATCCTGCTTTTTTTTTGACGGTCCCAGGGCCTGCTGAGGGAACCCAGGAGCAGAACACATTGCCAAACCCTTACGTCGGGATTCTGCCACAAAGAGAGAGTTCTGGGCCTCCCAGATGGGGTCGGAGCAGAAAGGGTCGAAGGATCGCGCCGCGTCGCCGATGCATCGCCGATGCGGCTCGATGTGAGCCTGGTTATCTCCACGCCAACGTGGCCGATGCATCGGCGACGTCGTCGGTGCATCTCCGATGTATCGTGGATGTATCGGTGATGCATTGGCGATGCGGCGCGCTCCTCCGACCACATGTACTCGGACCCCATCTAGGAGTCATTCTCCTCCTCCTCCTCCTCCTCCTCCTCCTCCTCCTCCTCCCCTCCTTCTCTTTCCCCGCAACTGCCTACGAGCGAGGCCCTGCGCGAATCCGACAGAGATCGCGCAGACGCGCATCCGACACGGTGGCCCGACGATGGGCAGGCCTGCTGCCGCTGCCCAGGTCCTGCCGGAGATCACCGCGGGGGTGGCCATGGAGAGGGGGGGGTAAGACATGGAGGCTAAGGTGCGGCATCACTGGCCGAACATAGCTGGGGAGTGTCGGGAGGGAAAGCGCAGCAATGACTCGCCGCCGCTGGGGGCCCGTCGGCGTGGTTTTCCTTCGTCTTGCCTGAAAGCAGTGCTTTTTCTCGACGGGAAGACGCTCACAGGCTCCCTTTGGCGGCACGTCATTGATAAAGCTTTCCTCAAAGCGGATTGCAATTGCCCTGAGTAGTTAGAAGGGGGGGTGCAGATTTTGTCTAGGCGGCTGGAGCTCACTTCGCGGAATTATCGTATCACCCTGCGTTGCTCAGGGCACCGTGGACTCATTTCTAAGCCAGCCTCGGCCAGATATAGCCCACATGCAAAGCCACCTCTGGCCTCTCTATCCCCTTAGCAACCTCCGCCGCCTTCTCGATGGGAGGTTCAGTTCAGCCTTGGCGCTGGTAGATATCCGTGGTCGGAAACCGAACAGATCCGCGAAACATCCCCCTAAGCCCGTTGAATTCCGCATGGTCCAGCTTGATCCTGGGATTAATGTGGCTTTTTGGCGCTTCTCTGGACCATCTAAGGGGTCTTGGGTCTTGTGGGCCATGAAGTGGCTGGAGATCCTTTGGGCTCCCTGCGAGCTCCCCATCCTGGGCCTCTCTGGGGTCCCTCTCCCCCCCAACCCCAGCCCCTCCCCGCGTGCCTCCCCGCACCGCTTCCCCTCTGCCGTCTTCTCCTCCTTCCCCCTGCCCTCTCGAAGCGCGGGCATTTCCCACGGCCGGCAGTTGGTCTGCAAGCTCTCGGGCAAGGCCCTCGAGGAGACCCTCCCCTTGAGCTGAGGGGGGGTGGGGGGCGGGGCCGAGGAAACAAGAGCGGCATGAACGAAAGAGTCAGAGGAGAGAAAGGTACCCATACCGCTACCCCTTTGTCAGTGTTCTTATTTTTCGGCCTCCTGGGAGGCCCTCGTCGCCACCGCTGGGTTCGCCTCGAAGTCCTCGTCAGAACGCACCCGGGGAGAGGTCGGGGGAGTAGCGGTATCAGTACCTCGTGGTCTCCCCAAAGAGCGGCATGAACGAGCACAGTCAAACTCGCCACGTGTCCTCCAAGCCGCAGCTCATTGCATGAGTATGCTTAGGGCAGGTCGTTTCGTGTGGCGTTTCCCTTCTTGCTTGGCGGTATGCTCCGTCACGCGATTGTCCGTCACGCGACAGTGAGATTCAGTGGTCGCGCGCTCTTCAAACAAGAACGGTCACAAACAGTCGAAGGTCCGTGAGATGTCCTAGATCTGCGCTGAAGGCGCGCTGCGTGCGGCATGGGGGAGGGGGATTCTGCCAGCGCTGGTCAAAGAACTTTGCGCGGACCTTCAAACGTGTATGCTTATTTGTGTATCGTGCTCCCCGGGAAGTGTTGCTCACCGCCGTTGCTCTGCGATGATGGTCCTCTTCACTTGCATCAATGGTGACCGTTGCCTGCTGCGCAAACGCTTGTTGGCGCCACCGGCGCCTCAAGCTAAGGTGCCCCCGCAGCTGCTATGAGAAAGGAAGGGGAGGAACCCATATCCCCAGTCGTCGTGAACAATCAAACAGAGTTTCCCCAATGACATCGTGCCCAAAGCTATCACATAATTTATGGGGTGGAAGCAGCGATTTCCATGGAGTGTCGAGTCACGGTCGTTGAAACATCACGGCGTTGGAGGTGCGCGGAGAATTGCAAGTTGTTTTTGATGTATCATTGCAGGCACTCGGCCATGCGACCACTGACAGTAGTATCTTCAGGAGGGAGGCCCCACTATTTGACTCTGATGAGGCCATCTTGTGGGAACCTTGCGCATCACGTGAGCCCAGATAGGGGAGTCGTCAGGTGCGGCTTCCCAGGTGACCACACGTGGCCCATCATAGGCCCCGGTTGCCCCGAGAATCCCACCAGCCTTTGGGGCGTACGTGGATTAACGAGCTAGCACTTCCAGCCCCATTATTCATCCTCTGCGTCCCCCCTCCCCCTGGGTCTTCACCCCTCCCCCCCGCGAGGTGTCAGAGTGTTGTTTGCTTTGGCTGCAGAGTTTCAGGAGGGCTCCGAGAGGGCCCCAACTAGACTACAACTGCCTCCGAGATGGCGCAGTGCAACCCAAGACGGCTCCACTGATAGCTTCCAGAATGCCTCCAAGAGGTCCCAACATCGCCCCAAGACGGCGATCTTGCAATGCGGACCCCGAGAATTCCCTGGGACGGGTTTCTCATCACGAGTTGTTTTTGACGGTCCCGGGGTCGGGGAGGACCCCCAGGGGCCGAACATCGCAAGATGCCCCCTCATGCCGCTTGTGTGTTTGCCTTCACGGCGCGAGGGGTCGGGATGAGTTTGCTCTTCCAGCTCCCTTCTCCCCCTCCTCCTCCTCCTGCTTTTCCCTCTTCCTCCTCTAGCTCCTGACCCTCCGCCTCTTCCTCCTTCTCCTCCTCCTCCTTCTCCTCCTCCTCCTTCTCCTCCTTCTCCACACCCTAGCCCCCCTTTTGCCCAGAGATGACGCATCAGGTTCGGCCTGCGTCTCATGACGCGTTTCCATACCTCGCGCCCGCACGGCCTCCCCCGCCGCCGCGCTGCTGTCTCTCGTCCGGCGCTGGTGTTGTACGATGAAGCTCTTCAGTTGGATGCTCAGAGTGATCGTGCCGAAAAGAGGTTTTGTGATATCCCTGCTAAGTCCGTCACGCAGATGTGATTCGTTTCCGTGGCACTGGAGAGCGAGATCGCGATGTGGCGGCGCCCCGCTCGACTCGACCGTTCCTTACAGCATTGCGGTCAGGCTGGACACCTGCCCCCCCCCCAGCGCGAACAAAAAATATGGCTATGCGTTCCTGCTTCGACGTCGTGTGTTTCGCCCCCCACACACATTGTGCACGTGCCGACCATGCCCGTGAAGTTGAAGGGGACAGTCGCGGCAACGCGGCTAAGGTCAGGCAGGAACGACATTATTGTTTCGATAGTGTACTTCCCACCGATACCTTCGCCTCGACGAGAAGCCCGCGAAAACGGCGACACATACACGCATGTGCAGTTCAGGCAGACGGTCGGTGCTTTATGTGACTGGTTTGAAAAGACCCTCGCTTGGGCAATCGGCAGGTCGGCGTATTATTTTCGGTTTCGAGCTGAACGGCGGCGCGGCCTGCGTGCCCATACGAAGGGTGTGATCGAAGAGGTCGCGTCACCTGCTCTTGGCCTGCATGACCGCGCGATACAGCGATACGCAGATGACAAGATGCTCGGGCTGTGCGAGAAGTTTGGGCGGAGGGTGGTCTCGAGCGACTCCGACGTGGGGTCTACTTGTCATGGAGATGCGGTGCGTATTGCACATCAACCACGTGGCCATCTTCGCGTGGCAGGATCCTTTGGTGCGCAGAGTGAGCCCGTTGCAGCTGGCCACTCTTCGTCTTTGATGGATTCCGCGCCCCTGGGTTTCAGGTTCACGTGCCGATATTGACGGATGTTATATATAATTTGAAGGCCCTTGTCGTGCAGTTGCGAACGCGATGGGTTTTCGATCGACTGGGCGAAGGAATGCGCAGCGGCGACGGAGTGGCCCGATTTGGTCGGACTCTCCAAGCAGCGTATGCCTCCTACCCCGATTACTTCGACGATCTCTACTCGGCCGCGGCGCCCGATGCAAAGTGGGAGCGTTGGACGGAGACGGCGTTTCAGGTAGTTCGCGGGGCCAGTCCAGCCAAGCCCAGGCTGGAGCGCACGCGAGCTGAAAAGTTTCAACTACTACCTGAGCGCAGGCGCCTGCGCGAAGAGGAAGCCGACGCGCTCGAGACGCGCACGGCACTCTCGACGTCTGCGGGCTCGCAGGCGCTCGAAGGAGGAGGAGCAGAGGGTCGCGAGGACGGTGGGGGAGATCGGCGAAGTGCGTGGCATCAGCCAGTTTGTGGAAGCAGTTTGGCGCTTACGCATTTTGGCGGCGAGGCGTCGGAGGTGCAACGCGGCCGAGGGCTTCGTTCCGAAGCGCAGCGAGCTCATCCAGCATGTCGAGCAGGGCCGGCGAGCCCGGCGGGCTTGATGCTGTGCTCATCGGTTCGGATGAGTTTCGACGGCGGTGCCTCGTACGCAATCTTACCTCGGGTCAGCCATGGTGAAAAGGGCCGCCTGCTTGATTTGGCGCTCGCCGCTGTTCCCGGCCAGCTTGCCGCGCGCGCGCTGGTTCAGCGCCCGGGCGTCGAGGTGCGTCGACGCGTTGAACGACTGGTTGTTTGGCCGCAGCAGCGCGCGCTGATTGCCGTTCGCGGCGTCGAGGGGCGCCGAGGTTCGAGCGCGGTCGAAGGTTGCGTCGGTGGCGGCGCCTGCCTCATTCGGCAAGCAGAAAATCAGATCCCCCCCTATCCCGACGACCACTACGTTTGAGCTTGCCCGCAGAAGTGTCGCAACAATCTCGCGCGCCTGGGAGGCCGCGGCGGCCGCGTCAGCGAGGGCTCTATGGGGCAGCGCATGCGCCCAGGAGCGATTTCGGCCAAACGCCGCCTCGTCCAGGTACGGGCGCCTTCTCAGGGGCGCCGCCGACGCGGCGTCGACGCGGTGCCCCCCCGCGCATGCCAGGACGTAGCTGGGGCGAGTCCGGATGGGTTTCCCAGGGGGGGTGGGGCGGGGCCGCTTCGCTTCTGCATCGAGCAATGGTGATGTCCTGATTGTCCCGCACTGACACGAGTCAGCGCCAGAATTGCTCGCATTCGCCCCCGAACGCATCGACCCCCCAACGCTTAAATCTCCGCCGCTGTAGGCGCGCCTCCGAACGAGCTGGTCTAGTTCGACAGTAATCAACGCAGAGTCGGCCATTCCGCGCGCATTCGGCGCCGATGAGCGCCGTGGGAAGGTAGCGCCCTGCAACGTTTAATCTGCCGTCGCTTCTACATTTGCGCAGCCGCTTTCGGCTTCGACGCGTCGCCCCCCCCTCCCCCTCCGCCGCCCCTTGCCGCGCTGCCTAGGCCAGGGCAGGGGTGTCTTCCGCGATCGGGGGACGGGCCCCGACGCGGGACTACGACCATCTGGAGTTGGGAAGGACGAATTCGAGACTGCGACCGCGGCGGCGTCTCGGGCGTCGCTCAGGCGAGCTGCCTCGCCCCGCGGAGCCCCGTCCGAGGTGCCGGGGATTGCGCTCGGACCCGGGCGACGGTGCAATGGCAGGCGGCAGCGTCGACCTCGGCGCGACAAGTGCGAGGGGGGGAAGGCGCGCCGCGTGAAGTTTTTGAACCTCGCCATCGGCTGCCAGGCAATAGGCGCAGGCTTGGGCAATGTCCGGAGGGGCATGCTGCCCCTCTCGCCGAGAGGGCGCCCATGCGCATCATGAATCGTATTCGCCGCACGCGTCGGGCACTTGTTGTTTGGCATCATTCAGCCGCGACAGACAAAACCAAAAGGCGGCAACAAGCGCGAGTTCCAGGCCGATCTAAACACACACACACACACACACACAAAAACACACACACATGTATGTATGTATATACATATATATGTATATATGTATATACATATGTACATATATATACACACGGACTGCGTCGGATGGGGGCGGCGCGTTCAAGGCGCAGTTGCGGGGGGCTCGTCGGGGCGCCCCCCCCGCCGCGAGCGCGGACGTCGTCGAGGCCGCAACCGCGAGGGGACCTTGCTGTTCCAGATTGGTCCCCGGCGGAGGCTGCGGCGACTTGGCGCGTCAAACCTGACGGCCACATGAGACATAAGTAATGTCTTCGGCTCGTCGCGCATCGGCTCGCGGCGTCGCGCGGTGGGGCACGCCGCGCAGCCAGAGGAAAAGCGCCGCGTCCAGTGGGGGCGCGAGATGAGCACGTTTCGCGACGCGCGCTCTGGTGGCGGCGAAGACATGCGAAATCGGCGCGGGGCCATCGCGGGCGATGCACCATCGGCTCTTGTTTTTCGCGAGGACGTTTCGAGCACCCATCGACGACTGGTTGAGCCAATTGCGGGCTGCGGCGTGGCCTGCTGCCGCGCCTCCCCGCGCGCCTGGCGCCGCTGGCCGAGTGGCGGGCTTTTCCCCGCCCCTGACGTTCCGCGCGCCGATGGCCCAGCGAGGCCTTATGCGCTGCCTGGCCACCGCAGTCGGAGATACCCGTCGATCTGAGCACCAGAGTTTACGCCGACGGTGCGAATCTCATGAGTCTAGTCTTGTCTGCCCGCAATGCGGTTATGCCTCTCGGCGCGCGTCGCGAGCCTTGTCGCGCACTGCAGTGCGGCTTCATATGTGCACGCGCAACCCCGACAAGAGTTCCGCGCCCCCGTGTTTTCTTGGCGCTGGATTTCAGCAGCAGTCGCAGCAGTTGCTCAGCGGTCGGGCACCCATTGCCGGCGCGGCGCAGCATGGCAACGCGGCGCTCGGCATCCAAGTCTCGACCGCGGCCAGCTCCACGGGCGAACTACGCCGACGGCTTCAAGCAGCGCGTCGAGGACACTACGACACGCGCCGCTCCCGGTCTCGCAACCGAGCGCGGCGACTGTTGAGGATCACGTTTGGGGAGGCGCGGCGGCGCGGGAGATCGCGCAGGAGGAAGGAAGAGGGCGCTGCGGACCGAGGCCGTCGCCAAAGAAGAGAATCTGTATAACGGCGGCGCACGACGCTGGCGCGCAGGTTCCGGGTGGCGAGGTGCTACGAGGAGGGGCAGTCAAATTGATTATGGGTCTGCCTGCGTCGTCTCTGGAGCGCGCGTTCCCGCCCTGTGCCGAGCAGTTGGGGGCGGAGCTCAAGTCTCGGATGACGCCGCGCAGGCGTCGGGGGCGCTCGCTGCAGACGGCGCTCGACGGCCTCGACTTGCGAGCGCGAGCGGCATGGGCGGCGGGGGTGACAGAGCGAGTTTCGCCGCTGGTCGTGAAACTGCCGCGGGGCGTCCGCAATGCAATGCTTTCAATTTGTCGGCGCCGAGCGAGAAGAGCCAGTTTTGTCGGTGGGTCACGGAGTCAGAAGGCCGTTCCAGGATGGAGGAAGACTTGGTGTCTCTATAGGGGTCGGCTGCGATGATGGCGCCCCAGAAGTGCGGTGGAATGGTTGTCTCTACGGCGTCGGCTGCTCGCGCGGCGCCCCAAAGTGGTGAAATTGATTTCCCTGCGGCGTCGCCGGACCCTACTGCGTCCCACGACGACGCTGGGGCGGGGCGCGTGCCTCGGGAGCTCCCGCGGCCACGTCGACGCCGAGCGACACCTCGAGGGCGGCTTCGAGAGTGGAGCGAGGGGGGGACGCGTCCGCGGAGGGCCAGAGACGCGGTCTGGTTGACCTGCGGCAGGGTAGCGGTAGGCAGGTCAGAGGTAGCCGTGGAAATTGCAAGCAGCAGAAAAAAAGCTCAGCAGCGAGCTAAACCGTCGCCGATGGCCGAGCGAAGGCAACTCGGGGTTTTCCATGGGGGGGCGCTTTGTTATCCTAGGTGTTTGCTCGCGCTGCAGGTCGATCACACTTTGTCGTGCAGTGTGTAGCGTGGTCGAATATCGCTCAGATGTTCGGCCCGATGCAGGTCCTGTCCTGCCTTGTCCTCCTCGCCCTCCTCTACCTCCCTCCACTCCCTCCCCCCCCCCCCCCCCCTCCCCCTCAATCTTCCTCCATCCGCCTCCTCCTCCTCTTCCTCTTCCTCCTCCGTGGCCATTTTGGCAAATGTCCCTTGGGCCCCGCGGGGTCCAAATGGGGCCTGAGCGCCGTCGGTGGTCTGGTTCGTCGGCGCAGTGGGTGCGCGCCAGCGTTCCGCATTCAGAAAAATGATCGCCCCCGCTTTCCGAGCGCGCCTTTCCCCGTGTTTCTGTTTTTTTTATGTCTCGAGTGCCGCGATGCGGCGCGTGCCCAGCGATGGCGAATCCGCATCTCGCACCGACCGAGGCTCTACGCATCGCGAACGACGACGTTGTCGCAGGGGGCGCGACCGTGATCGCGAACGACGACGTTGTCGCAGGGGGGCGCGATCACACTTGCGCGTCGTCTCGCAGCAGCAATGGCGGGACACGCCACTCGCGTTATGCGGCTGCCGCTCCTCCTGCTCCTGTATCCGGTGGCCATCGTGGACCAGGTTCTGCAGATCCACCATCTGCTATGTCTGCTTCTGAGCTGCAGCAACCCGCTCGCAATCGCAACTCAGGCGGCCACCTTCCCTGGCCACGCAGTTCCCCATGTAACCATCGTGCTGCTCGTGGCCCTCTTCAAGGGTCAGGTGGCCCCTGGCGCCCTGCAAGCTCAGGCACCCGCGCGGGCGCCCCGGTTGATGTCGTCGAATCAGCGGACCCCGAGGCCTTCGCTAAGCAGATGGATGACATCAGGCACGAGATCCTTGGGATCATAGGCGCGGCCCACAACGACATGCGCGACGCGGCGCTCAACGCCCCAAAGCCCCAGGTGGCCCGACTGGAGGCTCATGATGGGCAGATTCGGTAGACCGCGCTGACGCTCTTCGAGCTGGCGGTGCTGCCCTTCGCGCCGACGTGGACCGAGTTCAGCAAACGCTGGCGCGGGCCCAATCCTTGCAAGCCGGCGCGGTGGACCTGGCGCGCCCTGCCACGTGCGATAGGCCGCCCGACCCGAGGCTCTTCGGCATCAGCTGCGCTTGCCCACGTCGCTGGACGAAGTGCGGAGCGCCCTCGCAGCATGGCTTGAGGCTTGAGGATGCCAGCGTTGGCCAGTCCAGCACAAAGCTCCACGGTCAGTCGCCTGGAAGCTCCATTACCTTCAGCTGCCTTGTTGTGCTATTGGGCTTGCTCGCGCCGTTCGATTGGCTCAAGCATCGCAGCTCCCTGGAGGTGCCTGGAGACGCTTCAGCGCAGCCGCTGCCGCTGGAGGGAGCGACGGCAGATGCATAAACGCAGACAAGCGCCCTAATAACGTCAGGACCCAACTTCATGGCAAGCGAATTCTCGTGCTTCTTCAACAAGCACACCTGCACTTGAAGTGGCGTCTCTTACGGCCCCGAGGCATCATCGGTGCTCGCACCATCCCTGTGGTCGAAATTGTACCACAAGGACCTGAAGAACCTGCCAAGCTGGCGCGGTCGCCTGCAGCTGTCGCGCAGCTGGGCATCGACTTCAACGCCGTCACGGCGACCTTCCGACAGCAGCTGCAGGGCGTTGACACTTCAGCATGGGCGCTATCCTAGCAAGATGTGGCTACCCTGTGGCTCGCAAGAGCTCAAGGTCGCCACGTAGAGCGCCCGCGGACTTTGTTAGCATAAACGCATGCGTCGTCGCAAGAAGTTCGACAAGCTGAAGCGCATGTTTGCAAGTCGCCACGTCATCGCTAGCCAGGGGGCCCCCAGGAGGCCCACGGCAATTCGTTGACCTTGGCAGCACTCCTCAACCAATGCCTTCCGCTACGGGCTCGTCTACTCGGGATACGAGATTGCCGATCATAAGTACGATGACGACCGATGCGAGCACTGGCGGGGCGAAGATGATCCCCCCTTGGCACCCGCAGGCCGTCCATTCCAGCGTGCCCTCCCATCGGCTACCTGTCTGTCATCGCCGAGTGCGGGTGCCTGGCCGAGCTCAACACTTGGAGATCCCCAGCCCCGCCACGAACAGGATGATCCGCCTCCTCAACACACGCAACTACGGGATCGACCGCCAGCATAGGCAGCGGATACGTGACCTCTGGATCTCTAACTTGGCCTGGGCGCGGGGCGATGAACTACCCCGGCTTGCAATGCGCGGCGATTACAGCGTGAGTTCATTCCTCCATCAGCCATTGGTCTTCCCCCAGCGACGCCACGCACGACCATCTCAAGATAGACGGGCCTCTCAGGCTGAGCCGTTTTTGCGAAACCTGTTTGACTCTGGCATGCTGGAAATTGCGAGCTCATTGCCTACGCGCTTTTCTCGAGCGACGGTGTCGCTGAGCAGGGTCGACCGATGCTTCGTCTCTCTCAGCTCACATTTCGTCATTGACTGTGTCGCCGCGGTTGACGTGGTTCAGGAGGCATCGGCGTTATCGGACGGGGCTCTTTCAGATCACGCTGCGCTGGCTCTACGATTTACCCCCGCTGCTGCACCTGGTCAGGACCTGCGGAGCATTCCGAGCTCCATCTAGCGTGAGAAACGCTTAAAGGTCATCCTCCAGAGATGCACCGACTGCGCTAACCTAGACGAGATGGAGATGTCGGACGCACTTCTACGATTGAAGGAGCTGATGCACATGGCTGCCTCCATGGCACGCGGCGAAGTACAACGAAGCCATCGACTGCCTGCTGGGACTGGGGCACTCGTAACATAACGCACGACGCCACGGGCCATCGCAAGAGATGCATTCCGGCAAGATCCCGCACTGCTCGTCGTCTTCTGAACAACCTGGACTTGGCCAAACGTTTCCTCGGCACCATTGAGGAAGGCATGGTCTATATCGCAGAGCCCGAACAGTTTCGATCGCACACTTGCGACGCGAACCAGCGGCGCTTCCAACGGATGAGCCAGTCGGCAGCTCGAGCAGCAGCGCGACGAGCCCCCCCTTCCTCATGGCGATGCCGACCCAGTTGGACTACCAGACCACATCAAACTTCATGAGACGAGCATGCGGCAGGGCAGGCCCTAGCTTGGAACCCTGGATCGCGCAGGCTGCTGCTGCAGGAGTGAAGCGCATGCAAGCTGGCTCGCAGGTCGTGGAGCGCGAGCCCGCAGCCCTGGCCGCGCATATCCGCGACTACTGGCAGCCGGTCTTCTCGGAGACCACGGCTAGTGAACAGGCCATCCAGGAGCATTGAGATCGACGCCTCCCCACTTTACCTTTTTCTGATCTCCCTCTCCCGATATCTGAGGACCTTGCCAGAGCTCTGCGGCGTTGGCGGGTTTCCTCCCCGGGCCCAGATCGTTTCCCTTCCGGGGCCGGGGAAGCCGTGCCAGCTGCAGCCTCCATCCTCCACGAAGTGTTGTTAAGGTTGTTTTCGGGGGCAGGGCCTGTCGACAGTTGAGATGATTTTAATTCCGCCTTCAAGGTGACGATCCTCAAGGTCTCACTGACGGCGCGAGGGATGCTGACACTATTCTTCCGCTCAGTTCAAAGAATACCGACAGTAAAGCCCTCGCTCGAACCGTCAACATCCATGTTAAGCAGAGTAGCTAAGCAGCATGTGTACGCAATGCAACCAGGTTTTAGCCGTGGCCGAAATTTTGGGCCCCACATTTTGGATACTGGTGTCAAATCGCATTTGAACAGCATCGGAGAGGACGGTCCTACACATCGGCCATGGTTTATTTCCTTTAACTTTGAGGCGGCCTTTCCAAGCATGTCTCATCAGTGGCTTAAGGCGGTGTTGCAGAGATGAACACTTTTCGAGGCCATCGAAATGCCGTCCTAGCCTTGTCGCAAGACTCTGGAGGATGTCTCAAGATAGGGTCCGAGCGGGCCCACCTGTGTCCGATTTGCCGCGGGGCTCCCCCGGGCCGCCCACTTTCTGGCACTCAGTGGGCCCTGGGGATGGACCCGTTGGCCCGACATCTCGAAACTCCGCGACGACGCGGCGGAAGCGACGCGGCCCCCTGCTCTCGCGAACGGATCGCGAGAGGCGATGTTAGAGCAGATCGTCCCCGCGCCTCCCCTTGCGTGCGTTGCTGGTGCCCAGTGCTGACGACGTTGGTGTCTTTCTTCCTGACCTCCCCCTTCTTCCTCGACTGCTTCCCCCCCTTCGCGGCGGCGGCGTCGTTCGCTCATCTCGACCTGCAACCTCGCAAATGTTGTTTGGTGCCGATCTGGGCCGCTGTAAGCGATGTCGAGAGCGAGCTCCTTAGGAGCTCCGTTGCGTCCTTGGTCCCTGAATGGACCGACTTTACCATTTGCAGTTCTTGCAGGTACTTCGGCATCTTGATCGGCCCAGCGGCCGCGCGGTAAGAGCAGTTCCAGGCCAGCGCGCAGAAATGGTGGGCCCGCTGCAGAACCGTTGCTGCCACTCGAGCACCATCAGACGTGTCTACGGCTGCATCGGATGTTCGTGCTCCCATGCCTCTCCTATATTGGCAGATGTTTGTCCTCCCTCCCGAAGTGGTGTGGAGAGAGCACCGCGCCATTCACACGCTTTTCCGCTTCCACCCATCGAGTTCTGCGATGCAAAAAATGTTTTCGCTTTCCTGTGTGCGTGGTCCCGAACCCAATCAAGCGATGGGGGTGTCGGTTCTTTGGAGAGCGGCGGGGATAACGTTTCGGAAGTGGGGACACGCGTTCCAGCGATTGCACGACAGTGCCTACAGCTGCGGCGCCCTCCGACAGGCAGTCGCCGGCGAATTGTGCGCGGCGTGCTGGAAAACAACTTTCGCAGCATAGTTCAACCTTTCGTCCCCAATTCGTTCGCTCTGCCCACGCCTCGGCCTTCACCGAGATTGAGGTCGCCCGTCGGAAGAAGTGCGCCCCGAGGATGCAAACTGTCTTCTCAACTGCGTTTCGCTCCCTTGCTTATCCTGACTCTATGCCAGCTCTCTTCGGTCGGCGACAGTCCTCCTGGTTTCCTGAGTTTCCCCCCATCTCCGTTCAAGAGATCCTTGGCCGCTGGCAGCACCTTAGGACGTTCTTGGGACGCCGTCCACCTAGCCACCAATGGCCTCATATCAAGACGCTCGCGGGAGCGTGGGTCACACGTTCTCGCGTCAAAATATTGCAGCAAGCTCATTGCCGCTTCGGGTGCGGTGAACCAGACAGCACTGCTCACTACCTTCTATGTCCTCGGCTGTGGACGGCGGCTGACCCCGAGCTTAGCCGGTCTGTTCCTCCCTGCCGTCTCTCTCGCCTCGCATGGGGGGGGGGGGGCTGGGATGGAAACAGATCTTGGATTCAGCCTTGCCCGCACACATCGCGGGCATCGCGGGCCGACTCTTTCTTGTCACGTCTACCACTATGTCGGGCGTATCCCCCTACAGGGGGATTTTCGACGAAAAATAAAAAATACCCCCCAAATACCCCAAGAAGGTCAAACAATACCCCAAAAATAGTCCCCATACTGTTTTTGGAGTATTTGTTTTATTATTTTGGGGGTATTTTTTATTTTTCGTCGAAAATTCCCCTGTAGGGGGACAGGCCCGACTTAAATCTGCCACAAGCTTCGGCCTCATCTCGGTCGGGCGGACGGCGCCCCCGAGTCGCTGATTCCCTGGGCCTGCGGCGCCGCTCGCGCCGCCCTCCGTGCGTACGACGACGCGCTCCCCCCATGGCGGCGTGTGCTCCTCCTCCTCTTCCTCGATCCTCCTGCCCCCTCGATCTTCTTCCTCCTCCTTCTCCTCCTCTTCCTTCTCCAATTCCTCCTCCTCCTCCTCCTCCTCCTACTCCTCCTCTTCCTCCTCCTCCTCTTCTCCTCCTCCCTTTCCTGCTCCTCCTCCTCCTCCTCCTCCTCCTCCTCCTCCTCCTCCTCCTCCTCCTCCTCCTCCTCCTCCTCCTCCTCCTCCCTCCTCATCATCGTCTCCATCATCATCGTCGTCGTCATCATCGTCATCATCTTCCTCCCCTCTCCCTTCTGGGGAGAAGGGCCTGCCCCTCGCGCCGCGGGCCTCATGGAGCGGGCCGCCGAGGACCTGCCGGAACATCTCCTGAGCGGGCCTTTCCTGCAGGTCAACCGCTGCAGCGGCAGCAGCTGGCTTGGCTTCAAGGACTGCCGGGCCTGGGCAGGCTGCGCGCTGACAGAACGCAGGACGGATGTTTTCTCAATTGCCCCTGGGGGGCCGTGCCAGGCTGCGGTCGGAAAACGACTCGCGGTGAAGAGCCAGCCCTGAGGAAGGGGTCGGGGTTTCCGGGAACCGCGTCTTGAAAAAGTCAGGACGACGCATGCCTGGGGGGGGGGGGGCCCGAACTTCCGGTTGCCTCCAAAATCTTGGAGTTACAATTCTTTCACACGAGGCGTTTTCGCCCTGTTTCGGGCCCCGGGGACCCTCACATACCGATCTGGCTCCAAAAATGGCGCAGGGGAAATAGGGTCTAGGGCTAAGGTGGTGAATTCCCGATGTTGCAAACTTCTGCAACGTCAGATGTCAGGGCCCTCCAACCCAATACCGCGACCCTTCCTCAGTTTTTTGCTTCTCGGGCCTCATGGGAGGTCTTCGGCTCGTCGCCACGGCTGGAGTCGCCTCGAGATTCTGGTCAAAACGCACCCCGCTGGGAAAGGTCCAGGAAATAGCGGTATGGGCATTGTCTTTGTTTCCCCGCAGACCTCTTCGCGTCGTGAGCACTTTTTGGGTTTTTCCCGGCCCCTGGGGAAATTTGCCGGGCCCCTGGAGGAACGCCTCAGGATGAAAATCCGGTCCCCAGGGAAAGGGTCGCGACCTTCGGGGGGCCGCGTTGTGAAGTCGGGGGCCTGGGAGGGGGGCAGAGAGGCTCTTCGCCACGAAGGAGGGGGCTGATAGGGGGAGTGCAGGGGTCACTGCGATCGTGGCGTCGCAGTTTTCTCGCACCGAGCTTTCTCGCCCGGATTCGGGCCCCAGGGCCCTCGCCAGCGAGAGGAGTTCCACAGGAAGTAGGGGTCTGGAGCTCCGGGCGTGCTATTCTGCGATGTTCGATGTGGTCCGCGACCTCGACGTTCAGGGGGGGCTGGGGGAAGGCTCTTCGCCGCGGGAGCAAGAAGGGGCCCGCAGGGACACGGGTCCGGAGTGTGTTCGCCGCTCTCGGGCTCCGTCGGCCGTCCTTGAGGCCCCGAGGCCGCCAACAACCAGGCCAGGATGGCACGTTGATCCTGGGGCGATGGCCTGGGGTCCAGGGCCCGCTTCCCTTCCAGCTAGCCTGAGGAGAAGAAGAGACCGAGCCTCGAAATAGACGAAATCCCTGAGGAATCCCCCCTCCCAGACCCTGGGGGGGAGGGTCTGTGCGGATTGGTCGAGAAGCCCAGATCGATTATGGACGGCCCTGGAGCCCGACAACAGTCCTCAGAGGTTCACAAGAGCGACACACCCTTCAGGAGGGGGAAAACAGACACAGACACAATTTATCGTCGACCCCCAGGAAAATGTAGGAAGATATGGGAAGTGGGGTGGAAGGCGAAAACCTTTGTTGTCGCCTTTGTTGGGCCTCCTGGGGGGCCTCGTCGGCACCGCAGGCTTTCCCGTGCACCAGGAGAGGTCTGAGGGTTGACAGCCTCGGTACTGTTGCGTTGGCGGGCCTAGCTCCGAGGGGGTCGACAGAGCGCTGGATCGGGTCGCAGCTGAAGGTAGGTCAGGACTTGTCAGTGAGCGTAATCGCGCTATCTCAAGTATAGGAAACGGTGGCTCGTGACTTCGTACTTTCTGTTCTTCGTGAGCTCGGTGTCACAAAAGCCAGAGTCCCAACCGTACCGGTAACCGAGCACGCCGTCAGCGCGGCCTTGGAGTGAGCAAGATGGGCCTGACATGACCGAAAGTGAGAAGGGCCGTGGGCCCGAGTAGCGTTTCCACCAGGGCAGCCCAGCCCCATGGGCGTTTTTGTTCGCAGCTGGCGGGCTCTGATCGACTCATGGAGTTGATTGAGAGAGAATCGCTCCCAGGCATGTCATCAAGGGCCCGCGGGCTCTCCCAACGTATGCGTCTCTGGACCTCCCTGCAATCCCTCGTGCAATCCTCCCCAACGCCGTGCCAGCGCGTGGTAAAGTGACGGGGAGGGGTCGCGGCCGTCATCGTAGGGGTCGTGGGACTGGGTGCGGCACTCAGCGAGGGCAGGCGTACTGCTGGTTTTGTGCGTTGGACGTGTTGGTTGTGTTTTTGCAGAATTGTTTCTGGCATGTCACATTGGCATGTGGTCGTGTTCGTTCTTTTCGTGCTG